ATATCATGTTATCTTATTATGATGTTTTTATGACTTAATATCTTATATTCATGTATGGCGGAAGAGCCCCCAGGGGGGAGCTATGCAATAAAGTATGTATGTATGTATGTATGTATGACTTGTCTGATCGTCCAATTGTTGTTCAAAAATTACAGGTGCAGAAAAGACTACTGATAATCCCTGGGAGTGCCTAACTCCTAACTGAACTGTTTTTTAATTTGCAGAAATGGGTAAGCGCTGGAAAATTATATTTACTAGATACTGAACTTCCGGGTTGCCGAATTCCTATCTTTGACAAGATCATTAGTTTAATTTCCGCCGAGTGATTGGAAATAATGAATCTTAAAACTGACTCAAGTGCGAATTCGACGTTTTAATTCTAGTCCAACTTCCTGTTCTATTTATTTCTTGTTTCTTGTTCAATTTGCTTGCGTGTTTGTTTTTATCGCTTGATCGCGCACAACTACTGTAAAGTCTTAGACTCGAATTTCTGAATTGAGTAAATTCCTTGATATTGAATTTGCTAGTGAAACATCCTTTCATGTTGTTTTTCAACTACATTGACTTGCAATTACTTATGTTGCAAAATATTATGACTCGCAAAATATTTCAGGGAAAATTCACACTACGAAATTCTAAATTGGAGTAGCAAGAATAATGTACTTCTATTACCCCAGGTCATTAGAACGTGGAATGAAATGAATATACAAGTTATCGTGCAGTTAACAGTTAACTTTCCATCACATTTGCAATGATAAGATAGCGTGACACAATCCCAGGCTTAAACAATCAAAACATAAAAATCTATAAGAGCTTTCGTGACTTTAAGGACTCAGTCATCATTTATTGCCGGTGAGGGAGGGGGTGGGGGAGTTTTTAGTGATCACATAAATTTTTTTTGGGGGGGGGGCATAGAAAATTGACCGTCAATTAGCTATCAACGAGGAGGTATCGTAAAATTACGACAAGTAAATTTTTTCGTGAGACAACCAAAATCCTCCGCCGCCTCTCCACCCCCACGTAATAGATAATGTCCAGTCTCAAGGTCCCTTAATTAATGTAGATGGCCTCGGGCTGCTCAGGCACGTGATTTCTGTATTTAGCCTCTTATCCCTTTTGTGGGGCTAGGCTGGGTCCTATCTTGTCCCTAGGGCCTTTTCCAGGGCTTTACCCCCAACTAAGGGAAATTTCCCTCAGTTGGGGGGGAAGCCCTGGAATCGGGAACGAGGTTGGGCTTGGTCATGGGTCATTGACTGCAAACTAGAGGGAAAAACACCGAATCTGAAACTCCTAATACATGTATGACTTACAAGTCGTACACCAGGCTATTTGAAAATGAATAAAGGCTGATAGTTTCGAAAGAAACTGTTTGGGGCTGCGTCGGTGGTAGTAACGAAATAATTTGGAAGTGAAGTTCAAATGAATATGATGTGCAAATAATGATGCATTTTTCTACAGTTATCATCCTATTGTAATAACAACAATATCGTGACATGGCTCTAGTGTTGAATTATAAGACCGTAACAATCTGTAAAAGATTTCGTGACTCTTAGGTCTCTGAGGGAAAGGGGATGTGGAGAATTTGTGTTAGGATCAGACGTTTTTCAGGGGGATAGGGATCAGTCGTCCCCAACAAAGTATTAAGGGGGGGAGGACTGTAGAGAATTGACTGCCAATTAACTGTCAATGAGTGGATCAAAAGGATATTACCGAGACTTAAGGGTGGACCAGGTAAATTCTATTGTGAAATAACCTAACTCCTACCCACCCCCCCGGTCAATAAATGATAAGTGGTCCTCAGCTGTTGATGAAACATCCTCAGGCTTTTCAGGCACAATATTTTTATATTTGGTATCTTTTCCTTGCGTGGTGCTAGGCTAAGTCATGTGTAAATGACTGCAAAATAAAAGAAACCATCCCGACTCTGAACCGAAATGTGTGAAATGTGAGCGAATCTGTTTTGCTTTTTTCCCAAACAAGTCCTTGACATGACATGACATGGAGTCAAAATGAATATACAAGTATTCATGCAGCCTTCCATAGTTATCATTCTAATTTAATTACAATAATAGTGACCATAAACATCTGTGAGAGATTTCGTGACTCTCTCCACTGTTTATAAAACACGGGCTGCTTCCATATTTGGCCTTTTTTCCTCTTGCGTGGGCCTTGGTCATGAGTAAATGATTCCTGACCTTATCGACACAAATGAAGAATGTGAACTCATTCCCCAACAAGAATAAATTCTCTTCCAGCCAAGGTCGTGAATCATTGTCCCAAGCTAATGTTTATTTACAAGATATACTGTTTTTAATCGCGAGAAGTGCCGTTATTATTCCATTGAAAAATTTTCGTTGGATTAATATCCGTCGGGAATTATCGATGGCTCTGACTTCTGTTGTCGCAACAGATTAATAATAATAATAATAATAATAATAATAATAATAATAATAATATAGATCGATTTCTATAGCGCATTTCCATCTAAATGCTCTAATGCGCTTTACAACACTGTGCAGAGGACTTTTCCAGACTGCCGGAGGCAGTTTACAATTAATAAAGGAGAAATTTTGCAGATGCCCCCTCCCCCATCCCCAGTAACCAGGCCAGACCACATCACAGTAATCTCGTGATGTGGGTTCTTTAACGTCCCCTGATTGTTCTACGATCTATGCAAAACATCAGTTGACCGAGACCCTCATCTATGTCGTGCGCCTTCCTGAACGAATTGGAGACAAGTGGAAGGACTTAGCACCAACGCTGGACTACAATGAATTCGTCGTCAACGTAATTCAAACTGCATGAGAAAAATAACATCCAAAAGTAATAATGAGTCACTGTAATTCAATTGTTAACAGGAGACCCAATTGAACAAAGGAAGTCTGTAGTAACAGAATTGCGGCTGTCAGAAATAAGCCATGATGTAGGAACCTGCTGGCGTGAGTTAGGACCAATGCTTAAGATTATGGCATCCAAGATTCAGAACCTGGATGAGGAGCACAAATCTAATCGAGACAAAGCCAATGCCCTTCTTCTCACTTGGAAACAAAAAGAAGGAAGTCGTGCAATGGCTGGAGTCCTTGCAGATGCTTTGGAGAGTATTGGAAGAAAAAGCATTGCAGAAAAAGTGCTTGGTGAGTGGGTGTTTGTGCAAGAATAGTGGGTGTCTTATGCATGATGAGTGGGTGGTTGATACATTTATACTAATGACTGGTTTTTGCTTTGATAACGTAAATATTCTAAGTTACAGAAAGCTTAAAAATTTTAATTATTTTTTACTGACATTGTTCATTGCGAGACTAAAAACAAACAATGGCAATTTGCTTGAATTCTGACATATCTAAGAGCACAATAAGGAATGTTGCATCAGAGTCCTTGTGCCATAAATGGCTCGAGATCCAGTGCGGAGGGTGCCAATGTCGAAAGGCTTGTACAAGTTTTTACGAAAATAGAAGTAAAGAGTCTTTCCCGAGCACTGAGAGGTAGCAGACACAAGGCGTAAGACGATTTCATATAGCATACAACGTCCTTGGGAAAGATAGAGCGCGATTGGCTACCCAATCAGGCAAGATGGCCCCACCTTTCTTGCTCGGTTTTGCACCGTTTTGATTCCGTGCAAGAAAACGAAGAATTGTGAAGAGCCGACTTACAAACAAAGATTTAGGTGATTTGTATCACTTAAAGGTCAGATAAAAATATCTCAGCCAAATGTTCTCGATCAATTCACGTGTTACTTTTTGGTAGGTGACGCTTTGGGTGGTAAAGAGCATATAGCTGGATTAGACGATACAATCCAAGTAAGTCCTTAAAATCAAATCTACTTGATAAAAAGTGAATGCTTCCTGAATACTTGACCGAATCTATACCACAGTACCTTATTTAGGCTTTTTTAGTGTAAAAATACTACTACTACTACTACTACTACTACTACTAATAATAATGGTAACAATGATAATGACGATTTCTCTAGCGCCTTATCCTATAGCTCATGGCGCTTTACAACACTTTGCGGGGGACTTTAGCCAGACTGCATTGAGCCTCCAATATCAGAACACAACATCGGGAGCTACGTTCCTCACTCTTTACGATAAGTGTGTGGGTTCTTTGACGTGCCCTGCTAATCAGTACAGAGGAGATACAGAAGACGGGGCCTACGGTTTTTCGTCCTTATCCAAGAAGACTAGAATGTCTAGCCATCAACAGATGTCATAGCGAAGGCACATTCTCTTCAGTCATTTTAAGACCCTGAGAGTTGGTCCGGTGTAGGGCTTAAACCCTCGACCTCCTGCATGGAAATCCGGCGCTCTACAACATGAGCTAACCAGCTAACAACTTGGCATACAGGCGTGTGTAAAATCTACCTTCTAGGAGAGTTTGAGGGTATTTGTTGAAAATGAAGGGTGCTGAGGCCCTTAATTTTAAGTTCTCCTCTCGATATCCCCATAGTTTATCCGCATGTCTGTAAGCCAGGCTCAATTGAATCTTGAATTGTTGGGTTGAAAATGAAAGTTAGCTAAATGTAGCTTACCCAAACTAGCTAAATCTGTGTACTGTTCTTTAATTTCAGGTTAACAAATTGCAGAAGAAAATAACTGAAATACAAGAAAACGCCAAGCAATTGGAGGAAGAGGTCGAAAAACGATTCGTAATTGATTGTTAAGCTATTGGAGAGTGAATGGGTTGATTTCAATTTTATTCTTCTTTGAATTTTTCAAAAGGGTTTCAAAGTAAAGGAAAGAATGAAAGAGTTAGAACAAAACCATGCAAAGGTGACACAGGAAAATCAAGACCTTAAAGACCGAGTAAGTTTTTAATGGACATTAAAAGGTTAGCGGGTCACGTAAGTTTTCGTGGAATTATCTCTAACTTAGAAGAATAACAACATAGCATGTTCTCCGGCAAGTACGCAAAAAGGATTTTTCAGTTGGCGGTCCTACTCCAATGTCTTACGGGCTTTTTTTAGGCACGATAGAAAAAAGTAACTGAAATACTAGCAAACGTCAAGAAATTGGAGAAAGAAGTAGCGAAAAACTTCGTAATTGATGGTTAAGCCAGTGGAGAGTGGGTCACTTAACTTCAATTTTATTCTTGTTTGAATTTTTTTTACAAGGGTGTCCAAGTTAGAGCAAGAATGAAAGAATTAGAAGGAGAACTCGCAACGGCGACAAAGGAAAAGCAAAACCTTGAAGAACGAGTGAGTTTTTAATTAATATCTAGTTCACTCATTTCATACAATCGCCGTCGTTTATTTCTAGGACATTTGGATCATATCTATTTACTTAAAGGTCCGAGTCAAATTAAAACAAAGGAGGAAAAATGACATTGTGAGCTTGGCTCCTCCAAGCTCACAATGCCTGTGGAAACTGCAACCGAATAATGTTTGAAAAATTTCTTATGAATACCTGACGATCTTGTTCTTCTCATTGACACATCACAAAAAACCAAAGTAAAAAAAAAAAGAAAAGAAAATTGACCTCCATCGTACAACGTAGCCTTAGAAGCAGGTAGACAGGAAGGTCTAACGCTGTAGTTCTGTTGTGGCACCCAAAATATTATGGAACAATATTGGCACAAGATTATTTTTATTTCTGAATATTTTGATGCTGAAATTATTGGCACAATATTATTATTGGCACAATATTGTTATTGGCACAATATTATTATTGGCACAATATTATTATTGGCACAATATTATTATTGGCACAATACTATTATTGGCACAATATTATTATTGGCATAATATTATTATTGGCACAATATTACTATTGGTATAATATTATTATTGGCACAATATTGTGGCACCTGGAGGAGTGCAAGGAGAATGAGGATTAGTTTAAGTATAAGTACTGCTCCGCATCTCGCCATGATTCACTCGCCAGTTGGGCTAATTTGCATGTATAATTCTTATTAAAAAAAACTCAAAGCTGATTCTTTACTTTTATAAAACAGTGCCAGGAATTACAAGAGAAAAACTCAGAACTGGTAAACGAATTGCGAGATGCCAAACAGCAGACCCAAAGCGTGAGTTCTGAACAGGTTGGTAACTGATATTCAAAGATTAAGTCACGTAAGTGTCCCAAGAATTAATTACAAGTACAAAATATAACAAAAATAGCATGTTCTCGGGCATGGATGCAAAAAGGACTTTTCAGTTGGCGGTTCTACATCAATGTCTTCAGGACAGGGGTATGGGCTTGTATTCTTGTTTTCATTTCAATTGTCCTCTGTCATGATCATTTTGCACTACTGTTCTTTCGCTAAAGATGGGTGTCTAATTTCGCTTTCTATTTTCTTTACAGGATCGTGGGGTTGATTTGGATTCATCACCACAAGAGGATCCAGAAAACACCAGAGATCAGGCCGGTACAGAACGAGAGATCACTGTCCAGCTAAAGCTTCTTAATGAAGACCTCTACAAAGGCGTGGTATCTAAGCTGCAAGCTCCAGAAGTAAAGGAAGACAAACTTGAGACTCGCGTCATGGTGGATCGACTGATCAGACTGAGTGTGACGCTTCAAGAGTTATACACCACCACTCTGTCCAAGGCTCCTGAGGCATGCAAATGTAGTGAGGAAGTAAAACGAGAATTCTCTGAATTTGCGTATTACGGCCTTAGAGCTGAGCACAATGACTTGGTGCACCGAGTGAAAGAGTTAATATCAGTTGAAGAAAAAATGACGAGCGAGGAGAAAAGTGAACTGTTTAAACTGAAACAGCTCCAGACCAATCGGCAAAGGCAGGTTGATGAATTGGAAAAACTGTGGGGAGGTCTGTTCTCACCGGTAAGGATACAAGATTTGTTTTAAATAGAAAAGATCTGTTTCTTAAATAGCGACACACTCACTCACGTTGGAGAGAAAGAAATTCTTAGATCTCCAAGCAGGAGTCGAATCTATTAAATCCCCTTATTACTTCGACAAATGCTCTAAAGACCATCATTGCACAATGTCATGATCTCACTAAAAATAACAACGGACCAATAAAATCGCTGGTTGCTTCAACAGTTTTGCATGTCTTCCCTTAATGACCCTTGTTTATAGCAAATGATATATATTTGTTGAAAAAATGATTTTTATGTCTTCATTAAACTGCAGCCCGAAAGTCTTCCAAAAACACGCTCTGCGCCCTCTGCACCGAGTGGATGTTCCACTGACTCTGAAAAAAAGGTAAGAAATGTTTAGTCAGCGAATTACTTCGCCTCTTTCCGTTTGCTGGTATCTTTCTCCGAGGACCCTTTCTTTCATTTTTTTTGTCTCCGTCGTTTTCGAGCAATTTGCCACGTCAACAATGACAGCTACTCATTTGCAGTCAAGCAAAAAAAGAATGTATTTCGTTTATTTTTTGTTAATGCATTTGTTTGTCTATTTATTTTCAAATTTACCTTAAAATGCCACTCAAAGTTAATTACAGATTTTCTGGAAACGTAACAGTGGTGAAATGGTTCGGAAGCCAAAAGAAACCACGCGGCAAAATACTACCTTGGCTCCCTTCCTAAAAAAGTTCTGATACAAGAATTATACATCAGCGGTCGCGAGAGAGATTGCATAACAACAAAAAAGGACGAATAAAACACAAGGGAGGGATAACAATACTTATATATGATTTTGAGAAAAAGAAAGAAAGGTTAAAGAAGAATTGAAGAATGCTAGAATTAAGTTATCATGTATCCCCTCAACTTGCCCTTAAAAATTGCAACACACAATGAATTTTGAACCCAGCTCTTTGAGTATCTGGGTTAGCGTAGGCCAGACCAGTCCAATTCTAAGCAGTGTAGAACTTTTTCCTCTAATATTTAGGACTCGAAACGACACAATTCATATCCCAGTAGACAAAGCACCAGCATAGCGACATCTACAACAAGCGATGACGAAACACACGAAGTGTCTTTCACAAAGCCGGTGAGTAAGGCCCTAACACACTACCAGGACCACTGATCAGAGACTTAGAGTCAAGTCTTTGGTGACAGTCCAACCTCGTTCCCAGGGGGCGGGAAGATGAGAGACCCTGGGAACGAGGTTGGTGAGAGACGTGTTTGCTGAACTGGGGTCTAGATCATAGCTGTCAGTCATTGGGTTATGTTCTTTGGAGAGTCACAGTAGAAGTTTTTCCCTACATGTAGCAATGTGATTTGGCAACAGAAATTGTCAAGGAAAGCTGTGGAGAATCCCTGAGAATTATTGGGGTATTCCCGCAACAGATCAGCATCTGAAAACGGAAGGGTGCCGAGAACACCCTTAGTCGCTTCATCTGATCGAAGCTGAGATCATCTTCCGCTAGCTGTCGATCGTCTGAGCCCCAGTTTAGACACCGTTATGTTTACTTTCGTGACACGACGCGTGACACGGATTCCTTTTCAACATACGCTAACTTCCTAGTCCTTTATTGCTCCTTGCAAGTTTTTCCTATTTCTTACTAAAAGTGATCCTATTTTTTCATCTTTTTTTTTCCTGCAGTTCAAGTGGAAGAAGACCTTTTTCAGTAGAAAAAAGAGTAATAATGAAAACTCATGTTGCCTGGTGTCCTACTCACCAATAGCCCACAGGTATCCTTAACTGTCTAAGTGAACATAGATAAACAAAATTTGAACCAGGAAGCTCTAACTCATGAAGTTGCCTTGTAGTAGTTCGTGGTTCTTAGAAGTGAGTTAAAGTGGCGTAGACATCCGTAGTGATTGCATTCCAGCTTAACGGGTTAAAACCTGACAGAGGTACTCGCAACGGACACATTCCAACGAGAAATGAGTACTCGGAAGCGCACGTGATGAACTGGACACGACCTCAATTGTTTGAGGTATCGAGCGCGCTAGGTTTAGTGCATCCTCGGAGACCCAGGGGCTGAGTCGATTTCAAGTTAGGGCATGAAGAGCTGTTTATGCCCTAACTTGAAATCGACTCAGCCCCTGGGTCTCCGAGGATGGGTTTAGTGCAAAAAGAATGTTTTTTAACAAATTTCCATTACCCAAGTAGAGAAATTTCTGGTAGGATATTATGACCAGCCAAACAGTCAAACGTGGGCAGGGCCTCGTTTTCACTTTTAACACGCGCTGATTCTCGCATTCTTTAGGCGCACACTTTTTCCAGAGTGTCCCTTGTCATCTTTCCCATTCTCTTCAGGCTGACGAGGAACATATCTTTCGTCGAGAGATAATATCTTGCATTAGTTTAGCGGTGTATGTCCAAGCAAACAAATTCAATAAAAATAGCCCTCAGTAATGCATGGTATGAAAGGAGTTTAATTCTACATTTTAAGAATTTATTAATTAAAATTTTTGTCATTTGCGATTAATTGCAAATAGCCAGTTAGCTTTTCTAGATTTGCAAATCACCGAATACTCTCAAAATTTAGGCTTTTATAAAAATAGTAGATAAATACAAATTTCTAAAAAACAGAGGTACATATTTTTTAAGTATTCATTGAATTGATTCATGGGAATCATATACTTTTAGGACTGTCAAATGTGATTAAAATTGTAAATTTTATATTAGATCCATTATTTTTTCAAAAAAAAAAAAGAAAGAAACCTAGGTTTTGAGTTATTTATCACTACAACATGAGCTCATCCACTCCACCCGCTAGATATGTCAATAAAATATGTTTTTATTATCTTGGAGTTTGATTTAACATGGAATCTGTTATCGGCCTCGTTCCCAGGGCCTAAGGGAAAAGGCCCTGGGAAGGAGGTTGGGTCTGTAATCTATTTAAACCTTATATCTGGAGCCTGAGATCATGAGATTGCTATTTTTGTTCTACGATAGACGTCATTCACTTCCAGCGGCCAACATCCTTTAAAACTTAACCTTTTCGCACGCTTTTGTTATGATGGTGTTTTCCATTTGAGAGTAAAACTGTTTCAAAATTTTCTACTATTTTTTCGCCCAACACTATTGAGGCGGCTGAGAAAAATGCACGTAGGCACAAACACTAATTGTTTTTTTGGCTAGCGTTAAAAGTTTTTCTCCTGAGCTTTTGAGGAATAAGAAAATGCGTTACGTATAATAATTGCTTGTTCAAGTTCTACGGTTTAACTTTTCCTGACCGTAACTGGAAAATGTTTGCTCGTTATTTTCCGGCCACCTTCTTTGTACCCCTCGGAAGATCACATATTTGTCATTTTTTATCGAGCATCAATGTTATAAGTGTCTGTGGGACATTTTGGTAGGTACTTAGAAAAACCGCAAATACTAACGACTTGTTTCTGATTTAATTTGGATATATCAACAAAGTTGAAATGGTAAATTGGCCACCGTAACGATTACAAAAGCTGACGTTTCGAGCGTTAGCCCTTCGTCGGAGCGAATATTTCTTTCGAAACTATCAGCCTTTATTCATTTGTTTCTGATTTAGTCTGGTTGTTCGTTTATCAATATTCCACAATATCTCACATTCTTGCCGCTACCCGTTCAATATGCGATACCTTGTCAGTGCCGAACCACCAATATTAACAGGTGCCTGCGCCTGAACTACGCCGGCTAGTCCTACGCATCCTTTATGACCATATTTGCCATAGCTAATAGTCTATCTTTCCAAACTTACACAATTTTCAGATATCACTATTCTCATCGGGCAAAGAACATGATCCATTGAGACCAAGTCTGGACTTCGTCTACACACAAGGTAGACGAGGCGGTGTGGGGGGAAGGGCTGGAGGAGTGGGGTTTAGGGACTGATGGAAGCGGTAAGGTTTGATGAGGTAGAATTAGAGGGTGCAAGTCAGGACTCGGGAAAATGTAAGGTTCTAATGAACTTGCCCAATGTTTTGGTTTCTTACACTTTTGAGTGGATGGACCATTTGAATGAGTCTTCTTTAAAACTTCATTAGAAGGCACCTTTAAATTGGTTCCTCTTTGTCTTTGTTTGATTTGTTTTGTTTTTTCGGAAGCCTTTAAGTCATATTTGAAAATCTCCAATGCCGGGTCGTAACAAGATTTTTTTAATACGTAACACCTAAATTTCGCTGCAATTTTGCAAATATTTGTGGTCCAAATCTCGGAAATGCGATGTTTGGTGTCGCTTAATTTCTTTTTTAATTTTCTTTTCTGTCTCCTTTGTTTTATCATCATCTTTATTTCTTTTCATTAAAGAGAAACTTGACGTCTATTACAGATAAATAGTGGATGCAACGAGGAACTGTCGCACGCTCCGCCTCTCCGCCCTACCCACCCTTCCCCTACTCACGGGGTTGGTGCTTTACATCTATAAATATAACGCAAGCGCAGAGTTGCACAGTCAAGTAATTTTGAAGCGAACAAACAGCTGATAGAAATCGGCTGTGATCCATGTCTATGTTGCGGTTTTGATTTGATATTTGAACTTCAATTTTGAATTGATTGTAGATACCTATAATTCTTATGTTTATCTGATACCACCAAAAAAAGGGATCTGTCATACAATCACGAGTTCCACGCAAGCATCACTTTTACCTAATTGTGTTAGTACGTTTGTCTGGGCATGATAAATAACATTCAACCGATTTTATCGAATTTGAACTTAAGGAAAGTTGCTTGCTTTTTCGTTTGTTTTGTTTTTTAGCAGAGTGACATCATCACAGCCATAAAAGGAGCATTGTGCGCCGTTACGAGGAAATGACGTGACAAACATTTTTCTCTTGGTGCGCGCAATATTCAGTATATACTTTTTATATACTTTTTACACTGTCTATTGTTTACATAGTTAGTCTTTGTGTATTTCTCGTAAGGGCACACTTAATTTGGAGCCTCGCTCTGTTGTGTGTCCCGCACCCTTGTCCTTCGTTCTCTTCTGTGGCCTGTTCATATGTATATTTTAGTCCTTTTAGTATTGTAAGTATGGTGAAAGCGATTAAATAAATCGAAGTTGGTATCGCATCGTCATGGACTAATCAAGCAATGAGGCTAAAAGTTGAATTTTTGCCAACCTCATCAGTTCCTGGAAACATTAGGGGAAACCCCTTGCCGTGGCGGAGAACCCATTCTTGGAGGTGAAAGTGAAACACAGGAAACTTCTTTACTCGAACTTGAATTTTGAAAAGTAAACCTCAGGGAAATATATTTCCTCTCTCAACCAGCGCTAATCATGTTAAAGATCAAACGTTCAATGCTTCTTGTCTCTTAACACGCTTTTTACGGAAACCTATTTTGTAATTCTCCTGGGTAAAGTAATTGGTTGACTTTAATGGTTGTATCTAAAGTGAGAAAACTAAAATTTGTGTAAAGGCTTTTGCGATGGTTTCGGCCCGGAGAGGATTTTAAAACTCTGAATAGTCACGAAACCAACCGTACAACACCAGAAAGGGAGGGATTAAACTTGTTCGGTAAAACACTTTTTTTGTAAAATCCATGACAACCTTGTAGTGCTCATTCTCTTATTGCGTGACGTAAAATATCATGCCGATTGGAAATTACACTATTTTCAAAACGGAGAACACTGCCTTTCGAAAATTTGTTGTACGAAAAATATTCACATGCCAAGGCAAAACCTTGATAGTCCTTTTGATTTCAACTTTGTACCTTCATGGAGTCTCGCGGAAACATCTCGTGGATCCCTTCCGACAGGTCTCACACGAGAGGCAAAATCTATCTATTTGTCCAAAAAGACATTTCCAGTGCGTACGAATATTAGTGGGGAGATATTCCTTATGAGCATGTTATGAGTTAGGAGGTCTCAACTAACCCTCGTTTGCTTAGATAAAGGTTTCTTGTTCTTTCGTCGGTGTTTTATTTCTTTATTGGCAGCTCATCGCAAACTCTCATATTTAGGTCATCTGGGAACCCAGTGAGCGAGAAGATTACATAAGTAAAACGCGCCTTGTCAATTATCCGTCTCAGTCTGTATTATTCTGTAACGCGCTGAAACGAATGACCCTTGCTCCATGCCGCGACAAGAATGAATAATAACAAGGGAATGTCCCTTCCGTGCAGCACAAACGCTCGAAAAAATTGCGATGGAATGCGGCTCTAATCAGTAAAACAGGAAAACAGTGCAATTTGCAAAGTATAGCGATTTTGTGGCCCCTTCCTAAGGTGTTTGGTGGTCATCTCTTTTCGCTTAGGAGAACAGTTGGTTAATTCCGAGGTTACCTTCCACATCTGCATAAATGAACGCGGCTCTTAGAAAGCGGTTTAATATTTAAATCATTATCGTACACCGTGGCAAAGGCATACTTCAGTTGGAGAAGACAGCCAGCAAAGGTGCTCTGTTACTCTATTCTTAGCACTCATTCGTAGTAGCATCATCTATTTCTAGAGCTAATTGTTTTTCGTTACGAGAAAAGCCATCTTACATAGAACATTGGAAAGTGCTTTCATAAGTCTTTGCATAAATCGAGGCATGACTTGTCTGATCGTCCATTTGTTGTTCAAAAATTACAGGTGCAGAAAAGACTACTGATAATCCCTGGGAGTGCCTAACTCGTAACTAAACTGTCATTTAATTTGCTAAAATGGGTAAGTGCTGGAAAAATATATTAATTAGAGACTTCACTTCTGATGCGTCCACAATATCGATGAATTTCCGGGTTGGCGAATTCCTCTCTTTGACAAGATCACAGGCTCAGCTTTAGCTGAGTAATTCGAAATACTGAATCTTAAAACTGACTAATATGCGAATACGACATTTTAATTTCAGTCCACCTTCCTATTGTTTATTTCTTGTTTCTCGCTCAATTTGCTTGCGTGTTTGTTTTCATCGCTTGATCGCGCACAGCTTCTGTGAACTTCAAGATTTTAATTTCTGAATTCTAGTTTCTTCGAAATGTACGCTGATATTTTTAAGTTTTTTTTTTGCTAAACAACTCCTTGATATTGAACTTGCTGGTGAAAAACCCTTTTATGCTGTCTTTCCCCGTAACTTCCGCATTGTTATTCAATCACATTGACTTGCAACTACTTGTAGTGAATGACTTACAAAATATTATCGGGAAAGTTCAGACTCCGAAATTCCATGATGTAATGACAGGAACGATGTACTTGTCGTACAGCAGGTCACTAAAACGTGGTATTAAATGAATATACAAGTAATCATGCAGTTTTCTTCATTCATTATTCTATTACATCAGTAATGACAGCGTGACGCAATCTCTGTCTTTAATCATCGCACTCTGATAATAATCTGTAAAAGATTTCGTGACTCTAAGGTCTCCCTTTCATTGTTTATTGCCGGGGGAGGAGGAGGTGGAGGATTTTTAGGAGATGACATATTTTTTGGGGGGAGAGGAGAGGGGGAATCAGTCATCGCCAACAGAGTATAAAAGGGGAAATAGAAAATTGACTGCCAGTGACGAGGGATCGTGAGAATATTACAGAGCCTGAAGGGGAATCAGGTAAATTTTATCGTGAAACAACAAAACTCCTCTGCCTCCTGCCCAGGTGATATAGAATAATCGGTACAAAGGTTCCTAACTGTGGATAAAACTTCCTGGAGCTGCTCATCAGGGACGTGATTTCCGTATTTAGCCTATTTTCTCTTTCGTTGGGCTAGGCTTGGCCATGGGTAAATGATTATGCAAAATATATGGAAAAATCCCAACTCTGAAACTCCAAATTTCAGTGGCCAGTTGGATGTACTTTTCATATGCTAGGTCACGTGAACACGAGATTAAATAAATACAGAAGTAATAATGCAGTTTTCTACAATTATTATTCTATCTAGAGTTAATTATTAACTCTGTTCTATCATATCTGCAATAATAGCGTGACATAGTAATCATGACAACCTGTGAGAGACTGCGTGACTTTAAGGTCTCTACAAACGGTTTCTAAAACTTCAACGGGATGTTTCCATTTTTGGCCTTTTTTCCTTTGCGTGGGTCTTGGTGATGTGTAAATGACCCTGGATGTCTTCATGTAGAAAAGCGAGCTTATTTCTCCTAATGAATATTATAACATGACCAAAGTAAAGCACGCGCTCTGATTGGTCAATTTAGCGTCCCCCATTTGCCCATGGGTGTACGCTGCTGACGTGAGCAAATGCAAAGACTATTTTTCCGCGCGCGCTTGTTTTTTCTGATCACGTAAGATTTGTTTATAAAAGGGAACTCTTTAGCTACAATGTATCAATGTTATGTTATAAAACAAATGGTAAACACCACAGCGTACACTATTGAGTTATGGATGCACGCGGGAGGTTGGTAAGCACTCAAGAAGCTAGAGTCGCTCTCGGCTATCGCCGCGAGCGACTCTTACGCTTCTTTCGTGCTTAGCAACCTCCCACGACATCCATAACTCCATAACTTGTCATTGCGTTAAGTCTCTTATTAGTCCATTGAAAACTTTTCAAATAAAATATGTCGGAAGTATAATGGCTCTGACTTTTAATTTAATGCAGCAACAGGTTGTTCCATCTACGAGGTCGATGTTAATCATCAGTTAACAGAGCCCATCATCCATAAACTACGACTACCTGAACAAATCGGAGACAAGTGGAAGGACTTAGCAAGATCCCTGAGCTACAGTGAATCCATCATTGATGCAATCGAAACTGAGAAAGGCAATATCCCTAAGGAATGTTGTATCAAAGTCCTTGTGCGTTGGATTAAACGAGAGGCAGAAGAAGCCACTGTTGAAAGGCTTGCACAAGTTTTAACGGAAATAGAACTGAGGAATCTTGCCCGAATACTCAAAGGTAGGGGACAATACATGAGACATAAGACAATTTATGAAATACCGATCACGTGGGGAGTGGGAGCTCATTTCCCTTGCAGGTTTTCAACTGAAAAAATATTAAAAATCACAACACGTCCACTCGTACGGATTTTAAACAAGGAGAGATAAAAACATGGTAGGAAATTCTATCCAAATAGCCCACGAACCTTATAAACTGAAGGTAAAATGGAAATAACCCTTCAAAATTTTTTTTCCATACATCCATCATAGGTAACGTTGTTGGCACTTTTTATCGCAATTATTATTGCAATGTTATTCTCGGTATGATAATTATTGGTTTTTATCGATATTGTTACTAGTATCGCTATTGTTACTGTTTGTTATTATGATCTGACCTTTCTTGGTTGCATTAAACGTAAATTTTATTTGAAGTTAGTTTATCATTTAAAAGCACAATACTGTCAGAGAATAATTATGCCTAAAGACTTAACTGTGCTCGGGCTGTAAGAGATTGCGTTCACTTCCTTGCAAGTTGTTATTAGTCACCCTAGGAAAAAACAGGTCCAAACTTGATCACTATCTTTCCTGAAGCTTTCCAATGTTATTGTAGACTCTGCAAAAATTTTGATCTAGGTGTCATTTCCGATTTAGTAGTCAGGAACATGATGTATTTAAAAGTGTGAATTTTACGTGAATTATGTCACTTAAAGGTCAGTTTTAATCTTATGGCAAATTTTTCTCACTAACACTTTTTCGTAGATCACGCTTTGGGTTATAATGGGGATATAGCCGGATCAGACAATATAAGCCAAGTAAGTCCTTAAAATGAAATCCTTTGGATGATCACTAAAAGTTTCTTGACAGAATCCATATAACAGTGCGATATCACTAGCCTTTTTTATAACTAAGACAAGCCTGTCGTAAAGGAATCAGAGTTTGACGGTACTTGTTGAAAACGACAGTGGCTCGGAGCCCCTTGATTTTTTTTCCTTCTGACACCTTTTCGGTCTATCCGCACGTCGGCTGTACACCAACCTAGTTTAGATTTAAAATCGGAGTATTGAAAATTAAAGTTGGCAAAAATATGAGCTAAATCACTTTGGCTAAACCTGAGTAATGTTCTTTAGTTTCAGTTTGACAAATTACAGAAGAAAATAACTGAAATGCAAGCAGACGTCAAGCATTTGACGGAAGAGGTGGCGAAATAATCCTTAATTTATTCATGTTTATTTTACCGAACAGTGAGCAGATTAATCTAAATTTATTCATATATGGATTTTTTTTAGGATTTACTATCGCGGGCAAGAATTAAAGAATTAGAAGGAAAACTCTTAATGGCGACACAGGAAAATCAACAACTTAAAAAACAAGTGAGTGTTTCATGAAAATCTAGTTTCATTCATCTCATATAATCGCTCTTATTCTTCCGGCAGTTCATCTGACCCCGGTTGTTCGAAGGAAGGACAAATCTCTATCCGGTGAATAATGAAGTACGGTTTGGTAAAGCCTGGTTTGCACAAATGACACAAGCACAAGTGCAACCACAAACGCAAGCATAACAGCTCTTAATTCACAGCGAAAACGGCCTCGACGCAAGCATAAACACAAGCGCATGCGCAAGCACAAGCACAAGGATCAAAAAATTTCCTTTTCTTGTGCAGATGCTCGTGCTTGCGTTCGCGTAGTCCGAGTGAAAGCAAAATGCCGCACAAGCACAAGAAAATCTATTACATTTGGTTAAGTTTGGCCAATTATGGCACTCGCTTCAGTTTCCCCCCACTTCTGAGCATTTCAACGAAATGGGGGAGGTTGTCGCCGTAGCCTTTGATGAAAAGTTTTCCGAGGTTCTTCGCAACTCTCGAGTCTTGTATGACAAGAGGTGTAGAGATTTTAAAGAACAAAACAAAAAAGCACAACCGTGGACTCAAGTTGGCAAGGAAAAATCACCTTGGCTACTCCTTTCTTTAAAAATATCCCGAAATCATGAGCGTTTCGTTCTCCTCCTCTTTTGTAACCGCTTTCGCTTTCTTCGTCGTAAGAGTAAAGAAAACAAAAAACTCGACGCTTTAAAGTGTCTGCCGCCATATTGACCAAGTCGAGATCAACGGAGCCTTGAAACTAGTGAACATATTGTATGCTTTGAAACTTTTGCTTATGCTTGTTGATATTCATTTTTACTTGGCATAATTACCTTATGCTTGCGTTTGTGCTTCCGCTTGTGTTTGCGTCGCTAGTGAAAACCAGACTCAACATTTATCTGCGTGATAGCGTCAACCGGGCCCTGGATGGATGATATCTATTGACCAAAAGGTCTGAAGCAAAAGTAAAAATGGAGAAAGGAAAAGAGAAACAGTGTAGACAACAAAATGGGAAAAGGGAATGTTTTTTCAATAACTATCACTAAAACCAATTTTTTCGGGAAAAAAAGCAACTGAGCGAAGAAAAATTCGCACAGTCTGATCAAAGCTACTTCTTTGGTTTCATGAAAAAGTGCCAGGAATTGCAAGAGAGAAATTCCGAACTAGTGAACGAACTGCAAGATGCTAAACAGAAGACCCAAGCCGTGAGTGCTGAACAGGTTGGTAACTAATACCTGGGTAAGCTAAGTTTTCTTAGAATCAACTCTAAGGGTAACTTGATATCTACTTCGGCAAGGACATTAAAAGGATTAGTTTAGGAGTCGGTCCTACACCAATGTCTTCCGGGCTTTTATTGGGCATGTCGGGTTCCCTTCAGCATCATACAGATTATCACTGTCTCACGACAAAGGTAGGGGGGTGGGGTGGGCTTGTATTTTTGTATTAATTTCATTGTACCCTCTGTTATGATCAGTCTTTCACTAAAGATGGGCGTCTAAGTTCGAATTTTGTTATCTCTACATGATCCCGAGACTGACTTGGATTCACCTCGACAACACGGTTCCGAAAACACCAGAGATCAGGCTGATACGGAACGAGAGATTACTGCTTATCTAAGGCGTCTTAATGATCAGCTCCTCGATAGCGTGATATCTCCCATGCAAGTTTTAGAAGTTAAAGAAGACAAACTTAAGACTACCGTCATGGTGGACCTACTGATCAGACTGAGTGTGACACTGCAAGAGTTATACACCACCACTCTGTCCAAAGCTACCGAGTCGTGCAAATGAAGCGAGGAAGTGAAACGAGAATTATATGACTTTGCGTATCACGGGCTTAGAGCTGAGCACAATGACTTGGTACACCGAGTGAAAGAGTTAATATCAGTTGAAGAAGAAATGACGGCCGAGGAGAAAAGTGAACTGTATAAACTGAAACAGCTCCAGACCAACAGACAAAGGCAGGTTGATAAATTGGAAAAACTTTGGAAAGGTCTGTTCTCACCGGTAAGGATACAAGATTTATTTTTATTTTTTATCAGTCTACTGTTTAAGTATATAACTATTACTAGCGTATTAGATTAGTATAATTAGTACTAGATTTTATGTTGCAGTTATTATTATGAATAGAAATTTAACATAGCTTTACATATTACCTCGTTTGTTTCTTCTTGTATATTTATTTTGTGTCCGCAAATTAGTATGGTATTTTACGAGAATAGAGGGTACGACACTTTACGAACGTTTTTCATTTATTTCACTCGTTTAAGTGGAAAAAATACGTTCCTCTAATAGCGAGGAGAGATAGGAAATTGTTAGATTGCCAAACAGAAGTCGAATCAATACAAAGTACCCCTCCCCCCATATTACTTTTGCAGATACTCTAAAATCATCATTGCACAATGAACATCTCGCTAAAATTTCAATGGACCAATAAGACCGCTGGACTGATGGCTTCAATAGTTTTGCGTGTCTTCTCTTAATGACTCAGCAGCAACCTACCTCTAAAGTAAACCAGCATTTATTTACGTTTGTTGAACAAATGATTTTTATTTCTTCTTTAACCTGAAGCCTGAAAGTCGTTCAAAAACATGCTCTGAGCCATCTGCAGCGAGTGGATGTTCCGCTGTCTCTGGAGAGGTAAGATATGTCTAGTCATCGAATTACTTCGCCTCTTTCCAACTTCCAACAAAAGAAGGGAGAAGAATAGTCAAATTCTAAGTAATGTAGGACTTTTTCCTCCAATCAGGACTTGGTAAGGCACCGTTCGTACCCTAGTGAGCAGAACACCAGCACAGCGACATTAACAACAAACGATGACGAAGCAGATGAATTTTGTATCAAAGATCCGGTGAGTAAGGCCCTAACACATCACCAGGACCACTGATCAGAGACTTACGAACTGAAGTCTTTGATTACTTTTGTATGTGAAAGTCGTGGTTGCTGAATGGTTCTAGGTCTTAGCTGTTTTCTTTGTGTTGGGTCCCTAGGAGAGACACCGTTTGCTTTCATAGTTTTCCTTACGCGTGGCAGTATGATTTGCTAATAGAAATTGTCAAGGAAACCTGGAGGATTCTAGAGAATTATTGGGACATTCACGCAATACATAAGAATCTGAAAACGAACCGGTACCGACACATTTAGTCGCTTCGTCTGATAGAAACTGAGATCATCATCATGTGAGCCATCAGTTTAGATATCCTTATGTTTTATTTGTGTTTTTTAAGCTTAAAGTAGTGCCAGCCCCGTACATTTTGTCGAAAGGGAAAATTAAACAGAAATTAAGCTTTCTGATGAGAAAACAGAGGAACCACTTAAGTCCTCTTGTCTTGCGTGTCACACGCGTGACACGCGTTACACAGATTCCTTTAGGATATACGCTAAGTTCCCAGTCTTTGATTGTTCCTTTCAAACTTTTTATCTCTCTCTAAAGGCGATCCTATTTTTTTTTCCTTGTAGTTCAATGGTACGAAGTTGAGGAACCTTTTCAAAAGAAGAAAAAGCAATGAAAACTCATGCTGCCTGGTGTCCTACTCCGCTAATGACCCCAGAGGCCGGTTTCGTTTGAACTAGGAGACTAGCTTTCAAAGTCTTATTGTGACAGTTCGTAGTCCTTTGAAGGGAGCTAAAGTGGCGTAGACTTCCGTAGTTATCGTATTCTAGCCAAAGCGGGATCAAACGGGACGAACATTCTCGCAACAAACACATCCCGAAGAGAAATTAGGAGTTAGAACTGGATACGACTTCCGTTGTGTGAGCTATCGAACATGCCGGGAAACTGGGTTGAATCTTTCAAGTCGAGGCTTATTGCAAAAGACTATTTTGTGACAAATTCTCATCTCTCAAACGTGACTCAAACAGAGAACCTGAGAAAAATGTCTGGTAGGACATTATCACCAGCCAAATCCAACGCGGGTGATTTCACTTTCAACGCTCCGTGACACTCGCACTCTTTTATGTGAACACTTCTGTCAAAGTCTCTTGTCATTCTTCGGCTTCTGGCTGACGGACGGAGAAAATAAAAGTGGTCTAGAGATTATTCCTTGCTTTGGTTTGACATTGTATGTTCAAGCAGAAGAAATTCAATGAAATAGCCCTCATCAATGCATTGTGAAAGGAGGCTAATTCTGTGTTTTAAGAATTTATGAAAATTTTTGTCATTTTGCAATTGAAATTAGTTTTTCATAGAAAGCTTGTTGGCTATTCTAGATTTGCAGATCATCAAATAGTTTGAAAATTTAGGCTTTTATAACAATGGAAAGTAAATGCACATTTCTAAAATGAAAAGCTATACTTACATACAGAGGAATGATATACTTGCAGGACTGTCAAATGTGAAAAAAAGTGTAAACTGTACGTTAGATCCATTATTTAAGAAACACCTGCGTTTTTCTTTATTTATCACTAAAAAAATGAGATCCTCGACTCCAATTAAATGTTCAAAATAATTCCAGTTAGGTATATCAATAAACCATATTTTGAATATTTTAGAGTTTGATTTAGCATGGTGGGGTCGGTAGTATGTTCAAACCTTGTATTATCACCCCATCTGGAGATGCTATTTTTGGTCTACGATAAACGTCATTTACTTTCAGCAGCCAACATTCTTTGAAAATTAACTTTTTCGCACGTTTTTGTTATGATAGTGTTTTCCATTTTGAGAGTAAAACTGTGTCAAATTTTTCTACTAATTTTTCGCGCAGCACTATTCAGTTTGGCGACTGAGAAGAATGACACGTATGCAAAAACGTTAAATAATTTTTTGGCCAGCGTTAGAAGTTTGTTTTCTGAGCTTTTGAGGAATAAGAAAATGTGTCAGGTATAATAATTGCTTTTTTTAGTTCTACAGCTTAACTAATCTCTTTTCCTACCGTAACTGGAAGATGTTTGCTCGTTATTTTCCGGCCACCTTATTTGTACCCCTCGGAAGACCACATATTTGTCATCTTTTATTGAGCGTCAATGTTATAAATGTATGTTGGACATTATAGCAGATTCTTTAGAAAAGCCACAAGTACTAGCGACTTGTTTCTGATTTAGTCTGGTTGTTTGTTTATCAATATTCCACAATATCTCAAATTCTTGTCGGTATGCATTCAATATAGATGCCTTGTCACTGCCGAAACACCACTCAATATTAGCTGGTACCTGCGCTTGGACAACGCACTGGTCCCACGCATCCTTTCAGTGGACATATTTGCCATAGCTAATAGTATGTCTTTCCAAATTTACACATTTTTCAGATATCACTAATCTTATCGGGCAAAGAACACGNTGGGGGTTAAGGGACTCGTGATGGAAGTGGTAAGGTGTGATGAGGTAGAATTGGAGTCAGGACTCAGGAAAATTGATGACTCCATTAAACTTGCCCAGACGGTTTTGGTTTCTTATACTGTTGAGTGGATGGACCATCATGAATAAATCTGCTTTTGTAATCTTCATCAGAAAGTTCGGTTTCCTCTTTGTCTTCGTTTGTTTTGTTTTTTTTGTTTTTTTCGGAAGCCGTTTAGCAACATTTGAAAATTTCCACAACTAGGTCCTAGGATGTAGTTAAGTACGTAACACGTAAAACACCTGAATTTGGCCGCAATTTTTCAAAAAAATTAGTGCACTCTCGGAAATACGATATCTGGTGTGGCTTAATTTCTTTTTAAATTCAGTTTCTTCTCTGTCTTCTTTGTTTTATCATCATCTTTATTTCTTTTAGTTAAAGAGAAACTTGACCTCAGTTATATAGTGGATGCATCGAGGGACTGTTGCACCCGCCGGCCTGCCCACCCTTCCACCCACGGGATTGGCGCTTTATATCTATAAATATAACGCAACCGCAGACTGCACAGTCAAAGAATTTTTGAAGCGAACAAACAGCTGATAGAAAACGGCTGTGATCCATGTCTGTGTTGCGGTTTTGATGTGATATTTGAACTTCAATTTTGAACTGATTGTAGATACCTATAATTCTTATGTTTATCTCATACCACCGAAAAAAGGATCTGTCATACCATCACGAGTTTCACGCATTATCAGTTTTACCTAATTGTGTTGGTGCTTTTGTCTGGGCCCTGTAAAATTTTAAATTTTCGACATTTTTTGCGTTTATTTTTCATTCCTCCAAAATTTTTAATGTACATAAAGATCATGGAGTGTGCTGCTGTATCTTTCTCGAACAGACTGCCTTAATTCTCCGTCGATACCCCCTCTAATCTGTGGTGGTTGTTTTTGCTTTTGCTGTTATTTTTCCTTTTTCCTAATTGACTATAAATGTTTCCAAAGCGTGGTCATTTTACTCTTCAAGTACTTGTCCCGACATGGAGTGTTTGATCGATTTTGTTTAGGTTGATGTGTCGCGCGGGAACTGCGATCTGTGTTTCGGCCCGTTCTCAAGATCACACCTGATTGGTAGCTATATTTAAGTGATGACTCAACCCATTCATTCAACTGTTGCCTGCACTCTCTAGACGGTCTTTTGGATCGACGCTGCACGCTGGAAGTATATTAGCCCGTAGTTTTCTAATGAAGTGTGGGTGGATTTATAGGATACTGGGATTTTCGCACGCGTGTTTAGGACTTGGCATTTCCGTGTTTGTAACACTTTAGTAAACAGCAATCGGTGAAATAGAAATTCGGAGCTGCTCAATTTTTTTTTCACCTAGCTATAGCTACAATAGTTTGAGCGTGACAATTTGTCTGTTCATCTCATTTTACGCAAAAATCACGGTCTTGTGATTAAATTGTAAGTGTTCCTAATTGAATTTCGTGTAAGTGAAGGAGGAAGCAGAACCAAATACCTTCTCGTTTCGTACGAGCGGAGAAAAATTAAGATGGCTGCTCAAACACCCTTAGGAGCCAACTCCAGCTTCGTTCTCGATCAAGGCTTCGAAACGTACGGTCCGCTTGACAACGTGGACGCTTTCATCGACTCTCAGTTTGCGTACGCTTTGGAAGGCGAAGAAGACTCTCACGGCGGAGCTCAGGTGTTTGAGAGCAAAATGGAGGTGCAAAACTTGGAAGCTGGCTGCGTGGCTTCGTTGCAGAGCTTCACGTTTGGAACCGAAACGCAGTTGAACTTGGACAGCACAATTTCATTATCTTCGCTTCAGGAACATCTAGGAGGTCATTCGATGTGTCCCTACTGTCGACGAAGTTTAGAAACAGATGACCTTGAGAACATTTGTCGTGCAGCACGCTCAGACGGCGATTTAAACAAGATCGATGATGAAACCAAAGCAGATGAGATGACGAACCGACATGCGATTCATGATGGGGTTGAAGGAAGAGGTAAGCTCGTTAAATAAGCTCAATAAATTTGGTTATTTGCTTTTGTTCAGTACTAAATTGCACACAACTGTATTACGATAGGGGTTTAATTAATTCAAGCGTAAATGCGAGCCAAGTGATATTTGTGATCAATGGACACTTATTTGTTTTGAATTAATCGCCAGCTGAGGGTAATCGGATTTTGTAATTTCTTGTGCTTCGTACAATAATAATTACAGGTTTGTGATCGAAAAGATAGCGATCATTTTCTATGTTTATGTAGATTAATCCTTCTGTGTTTGAGTTATCCTATCATAACATAATTTATAAATATTTGCTCGTAATTATTTTGCCTCTTAGTTATTTAGCAAGGAAGTGTTAGCAAGGGGTATTTAATATTTGGTTGCCGTTCATGTTGGGCTGTCAGAGGGGTGGTACATGTTTTGTTTATTCTTATTCACGCACTTTTGAAAGAAATAGTTTCCTGAAATCATTCTGCATTTGATTTCATCCATTTGTTGCTAAGGAAATGATGAAAGGATGATGTTAAGGAAAGGAAATATTAAATTTGCTCGGGAATCCACCTGGTAGTTGAAATTAAAAGATGTCAAAATTCTTTAGCTGTGATTGGTGTATATTTTTAACCACAAATCGTATGTGACGTCAATTCTTTCAAAGGTTGCGGAAATAAGGTTATCATACCGGACATCATGGTCTTTGTTTTCTATTTGATTTTTGAGATTTTGTGGTTAAGAGCCTGTGGTTTGAGACAGTTCGGAAAGTTAGAGCACCATACTGAGAATTAGTGTTTGGCATTAGGTAGCTTCTCAATGGGTAATGAAAGAAATGGGGAAATTAAGGGAGGAGGCCTGCAGTTCAGGCTATTAAATGAGTCAATTCAAACACAAATGGAAGTTATTTGTAAATAGTCTCTGGCGTGGAATTCTGTGTTTTGAGTCATGAACCTGAAAATTGTCCTTTTTCTGATCTTCTAAGTGAAATTGAAAACAATGCAATGCATAGAGCACAGAGACCAGCTTTGTCAATGAGAAGGACTTTGCAAAAATGGAAAATTTTTATCTCTTAACCCTTTACCCCCTAACATCAGTATGTATATTCTCTGTACTGCTTTCTGTACTTTTTCTAAGGTGCTGACAAGGAGAATTTGTTCAACAATCGTGAGCCTTTTTAGTTGATGATAATCTGTTATTCTTGTGACTATAATGTTTGATTGAGGGGTGATTTTGTTAGGAGAAATTAGATGTTAGGGTTTGAAGGGTTAAATAAGAATTTACAAGGAGTCTTTCGTTTATAAAAGAAAGCATTACATTATCAGTGGTAGGGCTGTCATTAGTAGCCGGCAGCCGGCAATTATCGCTGGCTACTTTGATAAAAATCGCTGGCTACTTCGCTCACGAAATAGCATCAAAAGTTTAGATACTGAGTAAGTCTGACCAGCAGATTCATTTCCTTGGTAGAATTATGAAAAGTAAATTGTTGCAATTTCTCAATCATTTTATTAGGTAGTTTTCACTGGGATTCCCTCATTCGTCCTCAAATGTCAGAGAACTAAATAAAAATCTCTCTCTTTATACTTCATTCTACAAATTCAATAAAATTTGATGAAACTGTTACACCAGGCAACAAACTTGAGTTTATTCAAAGCATTTTGTAGACAGAAACTCCTCTTATTTTTTATTTTCTCTAAATACGATCACAGAGGTAAGAGAGACTGCCTTAAAATGTCTCCAGGAAAAGGTTTAAAATGGTATTTGGGCTTGTGTAACCCTGCAGGCACAGGAAGAGCTTTGTGCAAATTTAGATTTAATAAATGTTTTTTGTTCTCGATCGTGATTGTCTTTCTGGTGGCAAACACCCCTCAAAAATGCTGGAAATGGAATTTGCTTGACTCTCGATTTGATAATTTTCTTAGGGGGTGGAGTGGGGGGGTTGCCCACTATTTTTATCAGCCATCTCAACTACTAGTCATTAGTAGGTACTGTTCTTTTCAAGAAGTGAGACTTGCTAGAATTTCTCTGAGGAAAGGCAATTTTTGGTAATGTCAAAATGTTTAACTCACTTTGCTTCTGAGGGCTTTGCCCCCTGGACCCCCAACAGGGCTCTGCCTCTGGGTGGCCCCCCCTGGGCGGCCCCCAAACCCCTCACCTGTGAGCGGGCCTCCGGCTACTTTCAAAATATCTCCACCTACTTCAAATATTGACAGCCCTGCAGTGGAATCAATGTGTCCTAGCTAATGCCACGATTTCCTCTCTCTAGTTTCTAATACGACTCATGATCCAAAAGTGTTAAGAGGTCACTGTTATTCAATTGTTAACAGGAGATGCAATTGAACCAAGGAAGTCTGTGGTAACAGAATTGCAGCTGGCAGAAATAAGTGATGATGTGGGAACCTGCTGGCGTGAGTTAGGACCAAAGCTTGATATTGCAGCATGCAAGATTCAGAATCTGGATGAGGAGTACAAATTAAATCGAGACAAAGCCAATGCTCTTCTCCTCATTTGGAAACAGAAAGAAGGAAATTGTGCACTGGCTGGAATTCTCGCAGATGCTTTGGAGAGAATTGGAAGAAAAAGTATTGCAGAAAAACTGCTTGGTGAGTGGGTGTCCTATTCAAGATTAGTGGGTGTCTTATGCATGATGATTGCGTGGTAGATACATGTATAATAATGGCTGCATTTCATTTTCAAATAATTCTGAAATTATTCTAAGTTATGGAAAGCCTTAAAATATTTTCATCATTTTAATCAAAATGGTTCATTCTGAGAATGAAAAAACAGTCATTTGGCAATTCACTTGCATCATGACATGACAATATCTATAGTATAGTACCTGTACCAGTAGGAATGGTGAGCAGATTTTTATAATTTGAATTTGAATAGTCTCTCACATGCAATTGAGTTTGATCTAGAATGGAAATTTTTCATGAAAATGAAATTGTGAGCCAAGCATTTTTTTTTTAAATCAGATCCATTTCTCTTAGTTGGACTATGTAAGGCTTTTGATTTTTTTGTGCGAATTCATCCGAAAATGCCTGTGCAAGATCAATATCCACTGGATATAGAATTATATAGAATTTTCACCAATCTTTGTTTTAAATTCAAAGGAATTTTTTTATTGTTATTGTGTTTAATTTTTCTTGACTCTCATTAATCAAATAATTTTTTTTACAGGAGGGAGTGAAGTAAACACTTGTGTATCAGTTGTTGAGGGCCATTCAATCAGTTTAACTGTTAGATTTGATTTTGATGCTGATCTGGACAATAAGGTTGGTGGTTAGATTAATATCACAGGTTCTGTAGGAAAGTAATTCCTTAGACTGCTGAAACCTACTGGCTGTCAGATTAATTTGCAATAGCTACTATGTAAAATGTGATCAGAGAAAATAAGTAATTTTTAAACTGATTCTAACCAGAAGGGCATATTGCTTTGCAAAATGCTATGCAAAGAAATTCAATTTCGCTGCCTACTCAGTTCAAATCATACATCAGTTGTATATCAGAACAACCTTGTAGCGAGCAGAGATGGGCTTTCTTAATCAAGGAACAACACATCATTCAGCAGGCTGTAGGTATCTGAGATGGGAGTGTTGTTCTGAAAAACCTGCTCTTGACATAAGAGGTGGAAAGATCACAGGGGAAAGCTGTTTGTAAGAATTCAATGAAACCACACAGTAGGCAGTTCGTGTGTCAGATATGGAGCTGTGTCTGTAAATCTCACAATATAAAACCTTTCTCCCTGTCAATCTATAGATACTCTTAACATTCTATTGAATTGATTTTGTCCAACAGATGCATGTTTCATTTGTGCACTGCTGTTGTGCTGTGATGTGTCTTGGAGCTGTGATGACTCCTTACTTTGTGTTCTAGTTTGTGGACAATGTTAGACTTGAGATTGTGGTTTTAAATCTTTTTTTTTTGGGGTTTTTTTTATAGCTCATGCTTTGTGAAGATGCTCAAGGGAACAAATATATGCTAAAAGCACTCAGCAGCAGTGACAAATTTTGGAATATAGGCGAGGTAATTCTTGTCAATGGATAAAACCTTTAATACAAGTCCTGCAGTTACCAGGATATCTTTTGAGATATATAGATATGTGATTGACATTTGGATGTGGAAGTTCCGTTGTTTTGCTGGTTACTCATGAGATGTTGTTATTTGAAGTTTGAGTTTTTGGAGGTTTTAAAGAAATGATTTGAGGTTGAAATTTGAGGCAAGAAGAGTGTTTTACCCACCAATTCAATTATGTCTACATTGTCAATGTGTTCAATAAGCTCAGTGCATGGAGGAATTTTAAGTAGAACAATATTTTTTTCAGGAAAATGAAACTTAACCCTGATCTGAAAAAAAGTAAACGTGTATACTGCACTCTGACTATGTATGAGCCAAATTCAAGGGAAATCAATTATGGTTTGAATCTATGCAAGATATGTGGTACTATATGGTTCAAGTTGCCATTCAACTATAATCAAATGCAGATACATGTAGCATGTATGACTGACTGCTAAATCTGAGTAGCTGTATTGTGTTTATTGTAAACTAAGTTAAATGTTCCCTTGGCAGATTCTTAGCAATAAACAATTTATGGAGACTGTTGCTGTAGCTGCACAAGATATGGCAAAAACGCCAGAACAAAGAAGGCAAGAGAGCTTAAAGCGTATTTCATCAGAAGTTCATGAGCTGAGACAGAAATTGAAGAAAGTCAAACTTGATTGTGGAGATGGTGATCCAATTGATGGCAGTAGTTACTGCTCTATAGTTGCTGTACAGCCTGCACCTCGGGAGAAGCATCAACTGCAAGTTGAAAGGGTGGAGCAGATGATACAGTCGTGTGAAGAGCAGCAGCGCTTTTGTCAGGGAATATATCAGGCTCTTATTAGGTTGGTCGGTGAGGTTGGACAGCCCAGGGAGGATAGTGCCAAGTGTATTAGACAGCTTTGTGACTTTACCAAAGAACTACGGGATCAGGAAAAGACACTTTTCTCTAATATTGATTTAGTTCGTAACCAGCATCTGGGTGAACACCAAGTCACTCGAATAGAACAGTTAGAAAAATGGAAGAGGGCACAGAAGGAACAAGTTGAAGGAGTTGAAAAACTATTTGCAAGCGTGCTCCAACAAGGAAGTATGGACAGAAGACAGTCTTATGGGAAAATGGAACGTCAGGTCATTCAAGTCACCCACTGTTTCTTCCATAAATTTAAAGTGTTTTGGCTGGGTTTTTAAATTTTTTTTTTTTTTTAGATAGATATTTTGGATTTATTTGAGAGCTGGAGCATCTGGGAGGTTGTTGTTTTCTGTTGGGGGAAGAGAACATTTCCCTTGGGTGCCTGAGACATCTAGGGTTCATAGACTTTCCTTTGCAGTAAACTACAACTTGTTCTAGAGCCCCAGGGGTGGAGATTTGAACCCTGCCTGGGTAGGGTGGGAATTTGAACTGGAACTGTTAAGTTTTTCCAGTGGAACACATGCTTTATCTTTTGATATGAAGGTGTTGAAAGGTGAAGAGTTCAGAATAAAAACACATGAAATGAGATGACTTGCTTTCATAAGCAGATGGCTCAGAAAACAGTATTTACAAGAGAGTCACAGTTTCTGATCTTACCTTTGACAACAAGAAATTGATAATTAAATCCAGCACCTGGGTGGAGCATTTGACTCTATTTTGGCTGAGGAGTGCATGACTGCTCACCTACAACTTATTAGTTGCAGGAATTTCCTCTGATTTTCTTTGCTTAATCAAAGTTTGAATTGAAAACTGACCTTTGTTTTGCTGATTTCTTATTATAGAAGATTCAGAACCGCAGATCAGAACCAATTATGTCCACCAAAACACCAACTGGATATGGACGAAGGGTATGAAATGAAACATAGGTGCTAGCTCTCAGGCCTAAGCGTGTGTACAGTAGCTCACCGCTTAGATTAACCTATAGATAGTATTTTGCTGTGCCTCGGCTTGTATAAAGAGAACAGCAGTCCTCAAAAAGTTGATAGAACAAAACAGTGGTAGGTAGGTGTTCTACTGTGCACATGTTTATATGGTAACAAGATTTTGACAGCACTTTGTTGTGTTATTTACTTGTATGTGTGAAAAGACAGCATGCATAATGGAATTGACTCATTATATACTCAACAGAGAAATTAACTTGAAGATATATAAAACCTTTCCTTCATTATGTGACTGTTAAAAGACATCCAGTTCAGATGTAATTCCCTGCAGATATCACTTTCTGCTTTTTTTCAGAAACCTTAAGATGTTGCAGAACCTTGTAAAACAAATGGGATATAGTTACCAGTAGGCAACCAAATAGATATTTATTCGCAATTGCCATTTTGTAATTATTATTGATGGCAATCATTTCATAATGTTTTTGCTGGGGACCATTTTGTTATTATCTTTTTCAATGGCAAAAAGAGGTGAGCTCACAGTGCTAAACAGGAGTTAAATTTAGCTAACACATGATGTTATTCATTGTTGCAGAGAGCAAAGACTGACTCTTCAAAGCATTCAGGCAAATCACAAAGTATGAATGAACTTACAGAAGAATCCAAGAAAAATAACATCTCCTCGCCATTGTGTGTGCAGCGCATGTGTTTAATGGATACTGACAAGAAATCAAACATGGAAAAGGTACTAATAATTTGTTAACGAAAAAATGGTAAATCTATACTGACCCTCTTTTGCTGCAGTGTCATCATATACCAACAGATTAGTTAGTTTTCCTTACTTACTCACATTCTTCAAAATTCATTTCTTACAGAAAGACAATTCTTGATTGATCTTCTGAGGGAAGTGAGAATTTTGGAGCCCAGAGGTTTAACCTAAAGGCGAGTTTCTCTGAACCAAAAGGAATGTGAGATTTGATTGTAAAGGGTACTTGTTAGTACATAAAAATTGTGTTCTTTTTGTCATGACAGTGTTAATAATTTTACAGATTAGTTGTTATGTATCTCAGGTGTAAAGTGCTTAGTTTGTCTAGAAGAAGCTAAAACATTTTCTGTGAATAATACTTTTATTTTTTGCTCATGTTTTATGATACATGCAAAGATGTTAATGCATGTAAAAATTATTTTTGTTGCTCAGTTATTGTCAAAAGAGTGCTTTTTGCGTGTAAAATGAAGGGGTACTAATGTAAATGTATATAGGTACTAAAGGGAACACACACGCAAACTTTTATATTGCAATACATTCTTAGTCATTATGAAATATCATTTGGTTATGGCATGTTTGTTTGACTAAGTAATGAAATGATGCATGTGTAAAGGCATTTATTTCCCTGCAAGGAAATAACTGTATATAGCTTTAAACATTGTTGTGGCTGAAGGACAACATGAAATGATTACTGTAGTCATAGGCTGTATATGGCTGAAGATAGCTCGGAGTAGCAACTTTTTGCAGAAAATATTAAAACCCATAGTTGACAGATTTGTTGCTGGATCCACTATACAAAGAAATCCAGTTCTTTTCTATCTCCTCCTTTTTAAAGACTTGTGATTTTTACATGACTGTCTACAAGTTAGAATTGTTGCTTTTTATGGATCAATCTATTTGTCAGCTCCATACATTGGAAATATTGTCACTGGGATGTTATTGTGGAGCTGTAAGTAGTTTTTGTAAGATTAAAAGAATGGGTGACGATAAAATGATCGTAAACAGTTCATCCTAGGATCCTGTCTTAGTGTATTACATATTTTTTGAGGTGTAATTTTTAATTGGGATCCAAAGATGTTTTATAATTATTATTATGCAGCAGTTTAAAACTTTTGTATGCCATATACAATAAGAATAGAATGACGGGGTGCATGAGTGTAGCCCCTTAACTATAGTGAAATCAAAATCTATATACTAAACAAACAAAATTATTATTATTATTATTATTATTATTATTATTATATTTTACCAGCATTGTTGTTTAGTTCCTAGAGAATGGCCTTATCTTATCTGTAAAATAGTTGTTGGAACTTGAACATGCAATATTTTATCCTAAACGTGTATGGCTTTTAGGACATAAATTGCATTTTGTTCAAATAAGTTATTTTAGGACATGGAAACATTTTGTTTCATAGATATCAAGTAATTTTAAGATTAGGCAACAGTTTGTCTTGGATTGTAGTTACTAATTTATGACAAAAATTTGTTTCTGAATCTAGAGGAAAAAAAGAAAAAAATTCTTATCAGAGTTTCATTGCAGACATACAATGTAAACAAATAATTTGGTTGAAACAAAGACTACATGTAATTTGGAAGATTAACTGGACAAAATGTTTCCAAAATCAAAACTGTGCAGTTATTGTGAAGTTTTGTATAAAGAGGTATCTGGTTATGCCTATATGCACCTTACAACTGCAGGTCAGTGAGGATCACATTCTTATAAAGTAGAACACCCAGCGGGCTTGGTGTTACTGCAAGCCTGTATCATCAACATGTACAGTTTTATTTGGTAATATACATTATTATCCACTCTGCAAGCATCCACACATTTCAAAAGCCAGAATTTCACCTTTGTTCTACTCTGCCCAAGGAAACCCTGAAATTAGGTTAGAAACCTTATTTATTTCCAGCAGCAAATTATATTATAAGCAGTTTCTTTTCTGGGACAATGGTGAAAACAAATTGATACCCACACGTTCAGATTTTGAGATGTACATAGGTAAATATGGAGGGATCCAGAGTTACATAGTTTTGGGGAGGAAATGCCATGTTCCCACCAATCACAGAGCTCCATTTTCTGCCTTTAAAAGCACACACAACCCACAATTTCCCTATTCGCTCCGACATAGTTAGTAGAGGGGGCCATAGTTATTCCCCTCTACTATGGCTCCGACGAAGGGCTAACGCTCGAAACGTCAGCTTTTATAATCGTAACGGTGGCCAATTTACCATTTCAACTTTGTTGATATATTCAAATTACTTCGACGCAGCCCTAAACAGTTTCTTTAGAAACTATCAGCTTTAATTAATATAATAACCTGGAATATTAAAGTGGAAATTGTTCTTGAGATACCAGTGTAATTTTGGTGTGGTTTCATATGCCCAAGCTGGTCCATCATTAATAATAGTTTAAGCCTGTGAAGCTGGCTGTATTATGGAAGTTAATATTAATAATAAAAGTACTATTATTTTCATTGAGTTCCTGAAACCTGTCAGCTATACATGCTAAACAATTCTGTGACTAGTTATAACGCGTGTTTTAAAATTTTCCTTTCTAAAGATTGAAGGGTAGTTTGACCAGTAGTACTGTAGTGTAGCTCTTTTTTCTAGTATTTCAATGAATGTTTTTAGTTCTCTTCTGATGTATTATCAAATCAATTGAAATAAATTGGAATTTCTTATTACATATCTCTTGTGACTGTCACGGTGATGAAGGGCTAAACCTCCCTGTGTAAGCAATTTAGGTACAGTATGTACCTCCCTCCCCCTCCCCCCCCCCAAAAAAGATATATTGTATGGTTTCAGCTGTTTTGGTCAGAAAACAGGCATAACAAAGCCGATTATTTGCGAGAGACGGGTGAAAAAAATCTCGTTTAGAAGACGATCACCGTAATGATACGGCGTAATGATTCAGTGCACTCGTCTCAAGAAGCAATCTCCTCCTCCCCTCCCCCCCCAACTCTCGAATTCTGTTTTAATTCGTCCCAGTCTCTCAATTTAAACGTCCACGTGAGTGCACAGCTCCTTCAAACGAATGATCTCGTTTTGCGGCCACTGCTGAGGTGGTCATTCCAATCAGTAATAATCCAGGGACAACAAGCCCGTTTTCCAGTCTTTGTGGTCCTTTTCAAATAAACATCAAAGCTTTGTTTTGCACTTTCTGCTGTTTTTCGCAAAAGAAATAAGCGCTCCTTCCCTAAAAAGCGTCCTGTTTCGAATAAGTTACCTCTCTTGAGGTTAATAAGCGCCCCAGGCGCTCAATCGGCTTCTTACGGGATTTTAAAAGAAATCACGGTAAAGTTCATTCTGTAACTTAGTTTGCAGATGTCAACCCAGACTGTCTTGTATCTTGGAATTATATTCATGTCTTATTTCGGATCGTTCTTTATCCGCGGAAAACAAAAACAAAGAAAACAAAGCTGACAAGGTTGATTGCCTGAGGAGGACTGGGAAACAGAAAGTGAGCCAACGTAGGTTTTTGTTTGACATCGTCCTTTGTAAGCACCTTGATTCTTTATTTAAGATTTAAAAACTAAATATCTACGAATTCTTTGCGAGATTCATTTTACAGGGAGAGCATGCCTACTCTCAACAAGAAAAATAAGAGTTGAAAATATGACGCCCCCTTTGTGTTAATGTTCTGATTCTTGAGCAGTGAAACGTAACAATTAGTTTTTGGCAAAAGTTTGAGTCGTATCGATCCGCGAAAATACTTCATAGTCTCCTTAAACACACAAACACTCAAACGCATGCTGCAAAAATAAAATTCAGCATAATTTTCACGCAGCAGTGAGTAAGGGTATCAGGAAAGTCATCAATAGATTTGGAAATCCTTGTAGTAAACCACATTCTTGTAGCCGTTAGCCACAAGAACACCTCCACGGTTTTTTATTGGATAGCGCGGATTCCACGACACCACCAAGTTGCCGTTCAGGTAAACTTTTGCTTCCCCAGCTGGGGTGGCTGTTGACACTGTCACCTTGACAATAAACCATTCTGCACCCTTTGGGGGACCAGAGGGGCACGTGCCGCTCTTAGATTGGTCAAATTTGGGCTTGCCTTTGTAAACGTAACCTGTCTGAAAACATCCGCTGGTTGAGTGAGGCCTTAAAAACAAAGAAGAATGAGATAAGGTGTAATTCACCTCGAGACTGCGTGGTACGCACATTGATGAAATGGCGACGTGAGATCTGTCAATTTTCGCATCACCGCCTATCACCGCTCTACATAACAATTTAGACCCATGCTTAGCGCATGCGCACCCACGTAAGTAATATAAGTGGAGGCTCTTTTTTTTCTTATTAGTAATTTTTTTTTGACGGAGGATTAATATATCATTCGTTTAAAAGTATTGCTAGGTTCATACGCCTCAAATCGTTTTTGAGATTGTCCGCTACCGACCGATTTTTTCGTTCATGATCTGACTTTTTCAAAGCTGGCTATATGTTCTCTTTCTCGTCCTAACCTTTTGTTAACACTAAAAGATTAAAAATGAGATGCGTGTTGAATTAATGTCCAAAAAGTTCCTCAAACCTGAAATAGACGAAATCATAGTTGTCCTGATCTTCTGTATTGAATAATACTCCTGGGTGACCAAAATTTTGTTGGTCCCGTCCCATGAAGTTGTATAGCTTTACTGTCAATTGATAATTTGTGCTCTGTCCAGCGTCTTTCAGAAAGGCAATCTGGCAAAAACCATCATTAGGCCATGTTCCAAGACCCGCATCAAGTTTGACGAAGTCTGGGAATTCCACCACATCGGCGCACCTCTTACTGAAACGATTTTGAGGGGCAATTTGGAACTTTCTGAAAAGAATCTTGTTTATATACCCGTTATGACCGAACACTCCTCCAGAGGCCCTGGGTGGAAAATGGGACCTAACAGTCGCTACCAGGCTTCCATTTAGAAACACTTGCACGTATTGACCGTGGACAAACAAAGAGACTGGGAACCAGACACCACCTTTTGGTGGTCCATTAGGACAAGACGCACTCTGAACATAAGATGCCTTTCCATTTGTCAAGTATCCCGTCTGATAACAACCAGGAGGGTGGTGGGGTCTGAAAGCATAAAATCCAACAGAAGGAAGGAAGTTAAAATGAACCAAAGAATTTCATTTGATTGAATGACCGACGTAAGAGTGAGCCGGCTAAGTGTAAGATTAGAGGGACACAGCAAAGGAATGCTTGTTGTCCAAAAATGGACTTATTGTAGCGAATAAATGGTCCAAAAACTTTGTTACTTCAAAGAACGTATTGCTACTGATAAGATCGAAATTAGCCGAAGACACGCCTATTAAATTAACGACATCCTTTTTCTAATTTATTAGGCAGGAAAACTTCTTAAAGTTACCTAAAGTAGATAAAATCAAAGTTGTTTTCATCCTTAGCATTAAACAGCAATCCAAGATGACCGCTGTTTAATCCATTCCATCCTGCCTGGTTCATCAGCTCAGCTGACACAATGTACGGCAGTGAGGTATCTGTAGGTTGGGCCAGAACGCGACACAAGGGGCCTTTATCTCTGGATGGGTCAACATCGATTTTGTAGTAACTGTGTGGTAATGACTTCACCATGCTTGTGCAGTGTGTTACAGAAACTACTGAGAAATCCTGGCCATCTATGGTTCAATTATCAAAAGAAGAATAACCAGTGAGCAAATTTATGAAACATTTCAAATGACCCGCATGACGCCCCGTGCATTCTTATTGAAAAACCACTAAAAGTCCCCGAAGGAGGGACGTACGCGATGGCATGAATGCGACCGAAAACAGCATGAGATGTAAACTACAATGGAAAAGGAAGAAAAATTAAGAGAAAGTCATGGGCATGTGAAAAAATGCCTATTGATCGAGTCAGGTCCATGGTTACTCTTTCGCTCAACGAGAGGCTGTCAGTAGTACCTCAGAAAATCATTGATCTCTCAAGCCTTTTTATATGACCTTGGAAATTTCGTCAGCTATTGACACGAATCTCGAAAATTCGTTCATATGGACTTCTTTTGGTATTAAAAATCTTTTCAAGTTAGTTCTCAAAGTCTGGAAGTCGCTTTCAGTCTAATTCAGTAGAGGGTCTGCGTTAAGGTTGCCCGAGTAGGTTAGAGTTCATTGAATTAATTAAGCGACGACATTCTGTGCAAGATCGTTAGAGTTATAAAATATTGTAATGTACGTAGACGCTGATATATCACAAATCAAGCAAAAGGGCGAACGCGGAATTCAGCATCTCAACACTAGCGCAACATTTTCCGACAGTTTTAGCACCTTATTACTGAACTTGATAAACCTGGATGAAGCGGCAGTAATGATATGGAGTAATTTGGACAAATCTGTTCACCCGTTTGCGCGGCCAAGGTCTACCATCTACGACCCTTTATCACAAACCTAGAGTCCCTTGCATGGTGCATATTTCGCTTTTTTTTGTATCGAAAGCTAATAAGATATGTTTTTGGTCTTTAACCTTTGTATTCCTTCATACCGCATGCTGATTTCTAAGAAATGAAGGAAGATTGTTTCCAGATGATTTAACGCAAGGAGGACAAGTTTTTCACTGCACTTTTTCTCGTATACCTGAAAATTGTTTCAAACATAATCTTCACAGGCGGTTATTCAGTTAAGGGATACGGAAGTAAAGTGATATGAATAAATATCATTCGTAGGATTCTTTGTAGGAGGGCTACCTCAGTTGATTCATGTTTGGTAGATTCCCTTCTCTGTTCATATCGATGTTTGTCGTAATTCCGATTCAAACCCTCTAAATTATTGTCTTGCTTACCTACGCTGGGAATACTGTCAGTGGTACATGAGCTCATAAACTTGATTAACTAAGTAAGGAAAATAGTGTAGCTTTTCACAAACCAAGAAAGAAGAAAGGAGAGAGGTCCAAGTGGAGCTTTCCTGTTTCGTGATGGACTCTTCGGAGCGTTCAGCATGGTCGCGGAGAAGTAGTTGTTATTAGTATTAGCTTGGTTACATCTTATGGCCAAATGTAAATAACAGAGCTGTTTTAATTTCTTCTAAACTCACCTCCTGGACAACTTTTACCACTAAGTTGTTTGCTATGTTCTTTGACCTTCTTTGTCAAATGCTTTTGTTCACGTTCGACATTTTCTAGTAATCCACATACGCTTTGAACCGTACAACTTGGCGGGATTAGTTTGCTTTGGACATCACTGACTGCCAAAGAGGCAAAAATTACTAAGTAAGCGGAGAATTGCATGTTACCAACGCTAAAAGTTGCGGCGAATGAAAGAGAAATAGCGAACCGAGCCTTTATCACCCCTCGACGAGTCTGACACTCAAGAAGAGATATCTCAGACAGAGGATAATCCTTAAGAAGGAATTTCCGATTCCAGTCACGTAAACTAAAGCGTGTTTCATCTCGTCTGTGACGGTGTTCTAGAAGGTCGTGAAGTCCAAAATATCTCGTTACTGCATGCTAATTAGTCATGTTTCTTGCAGATTCCAGAAGAAAATAGACTTTTTCAGACGTAAATTAAAAAACTCAGACATTTTCTTCGTATCACGCTTGTAATTAATGTCTCGTGGAGATTATTCGGGATTTAGGGCTAATATTTTTCACGTTTTTCCTTTTATTACCTGACAGAATACATCTATCTTCTAGGATGTTTTGTTGTGTAGTATCGCTGAGTACTTTTACCAGTTGAGCCGTACTTTGACAAGCCCGAAGGGCGAGTCATAACACAAATAACGAGTAAAAATACTCAGCGATACTACACAACAAAACTTCTAATGAGAAATTTACTATCCAACACGCCAAATTGTTTTTCAGTGTGGGCGAATTATGCGGATATTTCTGGAGTACAAATATCGCGTGATATTCGTACTCGTCTCGCGCGTTATTTGTACCCTTCGAAGCACATGTCTACTCTCGACAAAGCAAATTCAGTCAACATACAGGACACTTGTCAGGTAATAACCTACCTGGCCTGTAAGCTCGCAAACACTGGGTCATTCAGAGCCCAATTAGGAAAAAAACCCGACACTTAAAATCGAAACTGGCCAAGAACTCGAACTATAGTTCTGGGGACCTAGTATGGCGTGCGAGTTGAGAGCAATAAGCAAGAACACTTAGTTGATGTCGCGCGCGATCTCACGAGCGGGGCCGACTTTTTCAAACTGATTTTTGTCGACTCGGGATTAAGTGGGAGTAATCAAAAGCCTAGACAACTGCCCCGTTCTTTCAGCAATGTGGACAACAGGAGGCCTTCGCCAGGCTTCTACTCTTCAGTCTTCTCTTTGAAAAACTGCTTGACTTTGAACAGCCCGTTACCCGCGTCATACGAGGCGCATGGTGTACGGTTCAGACGTGACGCGTGAATTTTCATAGAATGGCGAGGGTGATTCGTAAATTTATTAACCAGATTTTGCCGAAAACTCGCACGCACGAAGAGAGATTTGAAGTTTCTTCTTTTAAATTCGTGGGGCGTGAAATGAACACAATTGATGCGAGTCTTCAGAAAATCCATGTCTGAAATGAGATCAGCACCGTTGCTATAGCAACAACCTTCCGACAGAGATCGTGAAACGTGATGTGGTCACTTGAGAATCCCCGTCGTCTTTAAAAATGACAAGATTTTTAGAAAAACCGAAAAATATTGAGCCGTTTTAATTTTGTCGTGGCTAATCAGCTGAATGCACCATACGCTGTTCTTTCTCCGCCAGGCTAATCCTAATTGCATCATATCTCTCAGATTTGTCATACATCCCTGCGTTGTTTCTCGGTTTCTCCTAACCACGTGCAGATGTGCGCAGTTTTTTTGTTTTTTTTTTTACAGAAGACGAGGGTGGGAATTCTCTAGAGATCTCCATTGGGAAAATAAAGCTTGTCGCTAAGGAAGGGATTTGAAAAATTAGCAAAAGGCTTCCAGGCTGTTCGTGTGTTTTTTCACCAAAGTGAAAGAAACACAAAATGACTGCAATTTTATCAACCTTGAAATAAAAATTGCATTTTAAATTATTCGAGACCAGAGCTTTTAGTAACACCGCTGTCTTTGGTGACTAAACTACCTTACAGAATGGCTCAACATCTCAATCACAATTGTACCGTGTTTCTTTCACTCTTATCTTCGTTTCATATTTAGTTGCAAGTGATCGGCGATTTTTCGCGGTATTCTTGAGCAAACACCATTAATAAAAAACTAAAAAAGATTAAAGCAATACTGTAGCATTAATATTTGCCGTTCGCTTGGACAGTATGCATTGTTTGTTCAGACGAACCATTGTGAACTATTTTACTTCCGTTTTTGCAGTCAGTGTAATAAATCACGAAGATGGATTGATCACCAATTATAAACACTCCTTCTACGAAAAAAGCTCTTTGGTTCAGATGAAGACAAAATATGATCGGCCTGTTCCTTTTTTGCCTCATTCTGCTTTCCACTCGACCTCTCCACGACACTTCTCGTTGACAATTTTCATTTCTTTTTGTTCTAATCATAAACGGGGCGTTTCAATTTACTGGACGTGGAGTAGCATGAAATTTTCGGAAGCACACGGAATAAATTCATGTGTTGTTGTTCTGTTTACCTGTTTGTTGAAGTACGAGAACAGAAATTCATAAAAAGCTTTTCTTCTAAGCTTACTACGACTTTCGTCGCGTGAACAAGAAAAGATGCATGGGCCTTGCGAAAGATCACATCAGCTTAAGGCCCATGTGGCGGAAAATTTCTTTTAGCCTGAGTTCCCACCCATCACTGAAACCAACGCCCACATTTTGTAGACGATTCATTGATGTCCATCATAAATAACTTGTTCTTATACTTGGACCCTATTTCAGAGAACTACGATTCGTCCTCTTCATCTTGCTTTTTCTTCTATGACCTTTCCTTTTCTCAATTGGACAGCGGAAGGTTTTAACAACACTGAACTAAATGTCTTGCTTATCTTATCTAATGAAGATTGATTCCTTTAGCTGAGGTAGATCACTGGAACCATCGCGTGCGTTTTGAAGATGATTCACTATTATCCATTCCAAACAGTTTCTTCTTGTACTTGGACACCATTTCCGAGAACTTTGATTCGTCGTTGTGTTCCTGTTGTCTTGTCCGGACACCTTTCCTCTTCCTATTCGGAGTTCCGGAGGTTTTACTCAGATTAAACTGACTGTCTTGTGTTTCTTTCCGAGTTCTATTCACTTTTTTGAGGTAAGGACTCACATTTGGGGGGGTATCTGATGTGACTTTGGCACGAGAACTGTTCGTGTTTCTGAGAGCTGTCAGAGGAGATTGTTCATTTCTTTTAACACTCCTTTTATCTAGATTCGACTCAGATACTGTACCATCCATTTTAGTCAATTTTTTAAATTTCTTCGTTTTCGACGACGATAAGTTTGCACTGTTCTCTGCCTTTCCAACTTTGTTTCTTTCCTCATTTTTTTTGTCGCCTTCAATGTCCTTTCCCTGTTCCAATTTTCGTTTCTTTCTTGCCTCTCTCTTTCTCACTCGCTTTTCTCTTCGCTTCTGATTTCTCTCCAGTCTTCTCTCTTTGTTCGTCATGGGCTGCCCATTGATCGCATGCTCGTCGACGCTCTGCCGCTGCTTGTGTTGAGCCTTCTCTACATGCCGCTGCTTTGCCTTGAGGACGAGGCCATTTTCTATAGAGAAATCCACAATTGGCCGACGGTCCGGTCCAAATAGGGCTGGATTGTTATTGGTGACTCGCAGAGCGGCCAGAGCGTCTTTGTGATTGGTGAATTCTATAAACCCGTATCCCATAGAGCGTCCACGCCCTGCGCTGTCCAATCGCTCTTTGCTCCGGATGATCAGCACTTTCTTCACGCGCACCCTCTTTCCTGTGGCGGTGCCAAAGATCTCTTGCAATTTCTTATCGTCGACGTTCAGAGGTAGGTTTCGAACACAAAGCCTGGCAATACAAAAGATAAATATTTTGAGGTGCCTGCAATAAGTCACTCGTCTTACTTTACCACAGCTAAAGAAATTACGACACTACACAGCATTTCGTGGAAAAATGAACAACAACAACAAACAGAAAAAAATCCGAAAACCAGAGAAATAGCAAACCCATAATTACGAACCCCTGAAGCGAGTGCGAACATGGAATAGGAAGCTGGTCCGTTGCATTGCAGCCAACATGAAAGACACTCACCGAGTTGTTGAGACGAAATTATTTGGATTTTCTAGCTTTGTTTTCTTCTCTGCTTCAGCTTTCTGTCTCTTCAGCAAATCAGCTTTGGACAAGCCCCGAGCAGCTTCTGAGCCGGATGTAATGAGACCTTCTTTGGCCAGGTACAAATTGCGTTTGTCTCTCGTGTCCTTGTTCCCGTCCATCTTCTTCTCTTTTGCTAGTTCGGCCGCCTTTCCACGCGTTACTGCCTTCGTCACATTCAGTTTAAAATTGTCCAGCGAAATGCCTAAGGGATCGACCACGAGAGAACAGTTACGTGAAAACTGAAAAGGTTTACAGGATTCTATTGCTAACCTACCAATGCGCTAAAATACGACCATAGGTACCCAGGCCAGATGCCTGTGACATAAACAGTCTCATTCGTCTACGCTCATGTCTTGGTAATCTCCTGACTCAATGATTATTTTCCTGTGTTTGTTCGGTTGTTTTGTGTCAATAAAAAGAGCAACAGCCGTCTTTGAACGGCGTGTTGCGTTACCGGGTTTCAAAGCTGATTTAAAGACGGCGGCGCCTTTTGCAGAGTTTTTCACAAACATAAAACAATATATATAGTCGTCTAATTCTGCGAATGAAAATCAGTGAAACACGGATATAACTACTTGAAAGCGTGTGGAAATTTCTGATTGGCCTTAGGTAGTTTAAAACGAGACACTTCCCAACTTTACACACCATCCTTACCCGATTCATCTTTGTTGGCCTCCATAAGACACTTTTCGGCGCCTTCCGCCGTTTTGAACTTCACAAACGCCATTCCACGGCTGTGACCGGTCCGTTTGTCCTCCACCATCTTACAGTAGTCTACCTCTCCAAACTGTTCAAACAATTCGTGAAGTGATTCCTCGCTAGAATCAAACGAAATATTACGGAAGAACAAAGTTTTGCCTTCTTTGACGTCGGAAGGTTGTTTGGTATTCTTTGCTTTCAAGGCTTCTTCTTCAAGTTCGGGTTCTTGATCGCTGGCTTCGTTTTCCTCCTCTTCGTCGTCTCCAGTATCAGAGCTGCCAGGTTTTTCTTCATCTGATTCCACGTCGGAGTTGATGTTGGAAACATCAGCGCTGATTTCTTCAGCTTCGTCATCATCTGTCTTTTCACCCGTGACACTCCTCTTTTCAGTCCCAGTTTCTATTTTATAGAAATAGGAACAAAAAGTAAAAAGCAAAAAATTAATGACCTGAAACTATCAAAAACTGCTGCATAGTTTCGGCACTGATTGAACTTTAAGTCTTTTCTGTGACATACAAAATTGTGTTAAATGTGAAGAAAAGAACAACAGATCACCAGTCAATGAAAACTGGTATGAAGAAAGCAAACCATAAATAAATAAATATCAAACACGAACATCCTACCTTAATTTCAAAGCTACAATGATGATTAAAGCTGCATTAACCATTGAACTCCCAGATGTGATTAACATGTAACTTCTCTCTAAAATATCCTTACATTATCCAGCAAGCAGTTGATGAGAATACTCAAACTTATCAGGTAGAAGTTGTTATCTTGACCTAACACCAAATTCTCATAACTTATTTAAAAGGAAATGTGTAGCAGCAAGAAAGGAGAATTAACAATCACATCTTGGGAGTTACATGATTAATTTTCAACTTTCCTGTGAACCAAGGGCTTATTTGCAAGATATTTATTTTTCATCTCAATTTGCTTTTTTTTTTTTTTGGGCTCTGGAAAAGCTATTACCATGAGAAAATTAACTCGTGGTATCACAGATTCCTTTGGTGATTGTTTTGCTGCCATTTTAGATCTCCTTAGCAAACATTTCTGCAGGAGTGAGGTGAAAAATTACAGTTAAACTTACAACATCACTTTAAATTGTAAACTGGATGGAAGATTTAAACCAATGAAATATTGAAAGCACAACTTCTACATGCATACATCTTCCCAATGCACCCTAATAAATACATGTGTAATGAAAAAGGAACATCTACAGACCTTCATTGCCTTTTTTCTCCTTGTAGTCAGATTTTGCAAGGGCCCAGTCAACAGCTACTGGTCTTCCTGCAATCTCCTTCATGTTTGCCTCTTTTATGGCCTTTGCAGCTTCAAACACATTACAGAATTGTACAAACCCAAAACCAAGCCGGCGCTTACGTTTTCCATCCATCTTAGTTGGAATGTGTACTTCAGAGATCTGGCCAAACTGTGTGAAAAAATCCTTGAGGTCTTTCTCATTGCACTTGAATGATAAATTTCTTACAATAACCTTGGATTTCTTCAAAGACCTCTGACTAGGTGTCTTCCCTTCTCTAGAGAGAAGTGCTACTCCAATAGTATTCCCTTTAAAAATTTTTCCGTTGAGTTTCCTTACAGCTTCTCTGGCATCTTTATGGGTCTGAAAAATGACAAATGCAGTTGATTTGTCCTGTCCTTCTGCTGGGAATGTAACCTTTTCTACAGGCCCAATCTTACGGAATTTTTTTCTGATATGGTTCTGATTGAGGTCTTCTGCCAGTTTTGTCAGTTTAATAGTTCTGCCCATATCATTTCCAGGTTCTCTGCGCTGGGACTTAATTAAGCTTTCCTCTTGATCACTGCCCTTCAATTTCTTTTTGGGTGGAGTTTCATTTTTGTTCTCATCCAAGGCCATTGCTTTGAGTTCCTCATCTTCAATGTTCTCTAAACAACACAACCAAAAACATAATGTTGACCATTTAACCCCTAAGAATCACTAGCAACTAACTTCTCCTCACAATATCACATCCAAATTACACAGGAACCAAACAACAATTGCAAAATGATCACCATAAAAAAGATTTGGTCAACTTCCCCCTACACCTTAAAATAAAAAAAGAAAAAAGAAAAAAGAAAAAGAACTTCATATCAATGGAGGACATTTTCCCTAAAACCTGTTGATGGTCAGATGATGACTTTTGCCGAAATTTTATTCACAAAAGATATTTCTCACTCGCCATTTTGAGCAAAATGGTTGCACCTTAGAGCACTGCTTAACTAACAGCAATGTATGTTTGTCCCCTCTAATTAACTGCAATGTTTGTTTGTTATAAGTATAAAAGTGTAACTTACTGTGACTGTCATAATTGTCAACCTCAGGATGCAATTCCCGTTCCCTTTTCCTCTTTTCATGTTTGGGCTTTTTATTTGCGAAGCAGACACTAAGTTGTCTTCCCCCAAATGATTTCACAACATCTACAGCTCTCTGTGCATCTTCGGCGAGAGCAAATGTAACTTAACCAAATCCTCTACAGGAGTTCTTGACATCTGAAAGAGAAAATTTAAATGTTTAAGTCTTAATATATTGATATTCAGCCGATTATCCATGTGAAGAAAAATTCAAACGGTAGATTTGTATACGACCACGTGCGGGTCTGCGAGAAGCTTAGTCTTACCTTTGTCTCGAATAACAAAACTACGTTTGATAGGTCCAACGTCACTGAATATATTTTCGAGATCTTGGTCCTTCGTAGAAAAGGGTAGGTTACGTACAAATAGCACCTTTTGGGACACTGTCGAACCATCCTCAACTTGGCTATCCTCATTACGATCGTCCGCCATATTGGATTGCCGGGGATATCTCATAGGTCTTATTTGATTATAACCTAGGCTTCGTTATATCCGCTGTAATCGCTGGCGCTGATAATTTCCAAGATGGCTGCCCACGAATTGGATGTGTAGAGCCTAACAGATATCACCGAAATACAAAAAGCCTACGCTCAAATTCACCTTCACGAGGTACAGCTTAAATTGAAAAAACTCTATTTATGACCTAAATTGCAATTGATAATCTGCCTTATTTAAATTTTCCATATTTTCAATTATTTTACAACTATCGCTTACGTGTCACTCTTGATTCGGCAGTCAACTGTAATGTGCCTGATAATACGTTTAATAAATCTAAAGAGAGTTGTTCCAGTATTAATTTTGGGAAATGTAAACCTTTACTTGCTCTGCTGTTTTTTTTTTTCAGCAAAAACTTAACAATGAACTGGATGCTATACTGGAAAACCAACCAAGGCTTGATGCAAAACTGAACACACTTCAGAATGTTATGTGAGTGATCGATTTTATCAATGTTATATCTCTTTGGGGGACCGCAAATTTTTGAAACTTAAATTGTTTGCATTATGAACATTACAATTTACAAAACACCATCCTCGGAGACCCAGGGGCTGCGGGTCGATTTCAAGTTAGGGCATGAAGAGCCCCTGGGGACATTGTCTTACAAGACCAGTTCCAAACGGTCGCAGTCGTTCTGCCATCTGATTGGTGCCAGAAAATCTTTGTGTTTTTCTGCCCAATCAGAGTGAAGTGTGCTTTGGAGTCCTTTCGTGTGTTGTAACACGGACAAATACTAATAGCTCAGTTGCTCGCTATGTTTGTTTGGGCCGTGCGACGGAGATTTGCTTGAGGTGAAAAGTTTCAGTCTCAGCACACAATGTAAGAGAAATCGATCAGATTGTCCGCGAAAATCTTACCGGAAATTATACTGAATACTTTCGCAGGTATCACTAGAGAACGTGTTTTAAAGTTTGCGAGGTTTGTATACAACACGATGGTTGCAGTCATTGATATGTCGCTTTAAACGTTAAACGAGATTTAAGCTTAAATCTTTCTAGATTTTTTGCATAATTTGCTGTGACTGAAACTTTGCCAATCCCGTGAAGTTATTTCGTCGCACGGGCCACGCAGGTATGTCGAGCAACTGGGAG